GGACTAGATAGAAATTATTGCATATGCTTTGTTTTCCCTGAGGAGCGATAAAAATGTATTAAAAGCAGCATTTGAGATGCAATATAACTCGCATCTGTATAAGGCACCAAGTCTAATGTATTATTAGTACTCTTGAGAAATGTTGCAAATCCATTTTGTCTTAGGTTTTTAAAGCTGGCGTCATTTCAGCAATATATTAAAGCCAGAAGCGACTGTTTAATATAGTTTTCCAGATTTTATAGATCTTGATCATAAGAATTTAACTTAACCAACTTTAAATCCCACCTTGTGCTTGGCATTGTGGACACACTAATATATATATATATATATATTAAAAATGCAGTGATAAATATCTCTATGCACCTTATGGGCACAGTAAAGGTTCCATTTACATGATGGACGCATTCAATAAAAACAAGAACATGCAAGACAAAGAATTCCTGTGCATTTTTCATTAACTGTCAGCTTTGCTTAAAAGAGCCTAGGGCATTTTTTTTTTTAAACCTCAAATCTAATTCTCTAAAGTGTAATCAATCCTAAATGTGTATTTAGTGCACTCAATATAATTTGAATGGATTCCTGCCGAATAGGTTCTGTCAGTGACTTCAGTTGAAAATGCTCTTTAATATTTTGCCCAGCTTCCTCTTCTAGTATTTTATTTTTTAGAGATTTTTGCTATAGGGCATATGCGCTCGCCAGAAAAACAGAGACAAAGAGACAGAGAGATAGAGACAGAGAGCGAGAAATCACCCCCCAGGGAGGAGAGCCACATGGCAATCCCTTCTCCTCCTTTCTCCTTTTGGGATCTTGGGCATGTACGCACATGCACCTGGAGTGAGTTTAAGCCACCGGGTCCAGGACTCGAACCGTGGTCAACTACTTGGGAGTCCAGCGACATAGCCATTATGCCAACTACTGATCCCCCTCTTCTAGTATTTTTAAGTTGAGTTTCATCATAATAATTATATGCCTGGTATAAAAAAATTGATAAATGCAGAAAAATACAAAAAGGAAAAATTTATCATAGGCCCACTCCAGAGCTCAGTGAAAAGGAAGCCAGATTCCATATGGGCAACTAGGGGGGAGTCTGGGGCCTCAAGGCTTAGATGCTGGGCACGTGTTCCCAGGTTCCTGATGGGAAGGGGAATTGGAGGAAAAAGGATTTCAGAGTGACTGGTCTTCTCTGAGGTGGTTGCTTTCGGTCTCTTACTCTCACTCTGATACATACACACACTCTCTCATTCTCATACACAGTACCCTCTAGCATAATTTGTATATATTATATGTAGAATATGTAGAATATAAAAATATATAATTTATATATAATAAATATAAATCGTATATATGTAAACTGTAATTTTCCCATCAAAATATTTTAATCCAAAGCATTTTTTTAAATCTTGAGAGATTGCAGGGTTGTGGCAATGTTGTAGAAATGCTATCTGAGAAGAAATTGAACTTTGTTCTTTGTAAGGTATTGTTCTGTTTTCATGTGATGCCCAATGCTAGCATGATTACATCCATATACTATCCAAAAGAGTATTTGGCATATTCAGCAAGAATTTACTCTCTTTTCTTCTCCATAGCCCTGTTCATGACAGGAATGTGTGGGCCGTCTGACTGGAAGGTTTTGTTTCCCATGGGTCTGACACCCCTCCCCCCATCTGTCTGCCTTCCTGTTTTCACACTTTCCCCTCCTCTCACTGCTCTCGTCTTCCCTCACCTTCTTCCTCTTCTGTCCTCTCCACTTTCTCTCTTTCACCTTCCCTTTCTCTTCTCTTTTTTCTCCTCTCCTTTCATCCTTCTCTTTTCCACTTTCCTTTCCTGTCCTCTCTCCTTTCCCTGTTGGAAATCCTGATTGGTGTGGATCTAAGCTAGAACTAGAGGAAAAGAAGTGGGCATAGAGAACATATCTTTAGATATCATGTTCTCTAAGAATACAAAGATCACAGGCGTCCGTAGGTATAGAAGTTACAGAGTTGATGCACTTGTTGGAGTGATTTAGGAAGAGAGGAGGTGGTTGTCAGAGTGGCTACTTGGATTGCTGACAGTGAGGTCTAGAAGATATGGTAATGTATGGTAATGGAGCCTGAGGGCAAAGGCTCAGCAAAGGATATGGCCATGCCATTGGAGAAGAGATCAAGAATAGGATTCAGCAAATTTTCTATGTGGAAGTTCATTCTGTGTCTGTATGGGTGTGTCTGTGAGGTAGAGAGAGAGGGATGAGGTGAAGCAGCGGCAGAGGGGGAAGAGAGAATTGAAAAAGGCATGTTGAATATATAATTATTCAAAAGACCTGGAGGTTTTCAGGAAGGAAGATCACAGAATGATCAGTGAAGGCAATGGGAGCCTCTCTGAGCTCCAGGCCTTGCCTCGAGGAAACAGTAAGATTTTAATTAGAGTAAGAAAGCAAAAGAATATTCAAAAAGAAGTTTAAGATGTGAGGGCTTTTAAAAAAAAAAAAAAAAAAATGATCGTGCATTCTAAGAAGCAAGTGAAAGAAACTTTAGGGTTAGAGTTGGATCACAGTTGTATGGGGATAACCCTACAGGAGGAGCAATGACCAGGGAACCCCAAGCTTGTTGATTGGTTGAAATGGACTCAGATCCATTGCGGGATTTTTCTGGGCTGGATGCTGAGGTAATTTTGCCAGGAGAGCCCAGAGCACAGGCATGGTTTGGGAACCTGCAGAGGTAGGAACAGTGCTGATGTAGCACTGGAGCTAGAGAGGCAGAGGTGGAGAATTGGGGAAATGCAGATTTCTCAGGATACTGACTGGCACCACTACTAATCGTGCTGTCAAGGTTAGCTGGGGTATTTCCAGCACCTGCGACTTAGGTAATAATGATAACCCTTTTGGCTGCTCTCTTAGAGTAGATTTAAAGAGAGTAGAAGGAGGAATTATTTCTTTAGATGTATCTACGTACTTCTCAGACCAGGGAAATGTGATCCTGGGTCATCTGCCCTACCCCTGAGTACAGCTGGAACAGACACAAATCCCATGTACTGGAAAAAAGGAAGACCTGTCCCTAGAAAATTAATGAAGTGAATGGATGCTAGGCAGAGGGAATTAGAAATTGTGTATACTGGGGCCACCAGGTGGGGTAGAGGTTAAGGAGCTGGATTCCTCATTGCCAATCCATGGTTTGAGTCCTGGACCTCGTGGTTTGAAAATCATGCTGGGCATATGTGCTTGCATGCCCAAAATCCTGAGAGAAAGGGATAGTGGCATGGCCATTCCCCTTGGGGGTGATTTCTCACTTTCCCTCTGTCTCTCTCTCTGATGAGTACACACTCCCTATAGAAAATATTAATAATAATAAAATAAAAATAAAAAACAATTTGTACATAGCTATTGGTCTCAAAGACCCAAATAACAATGCCTAAAGACAGTTGGTCTTTATTTTTCTCTCATCTAAAAGGACAAAGTATGTAATGCAAAGATGGTGTGATGGTTTAGTTTCCTTAGAGACTCAGGTCCTTTTATTTCTTTGCTCTTCCATGTAAGTGCATAATACTTATCCTATAGCATTCTGTAAAAATAATCTAGTATGCTGGGGTACTATCTCTCACATCTGTATTTTGCGAGAAAGAAAGAAGGGAAGTCAAGAATTGAGACTTTCCCTTTTACAAATAGAAGTCCTACAAAACTTCAGCTCTATCTTACTTTCATGAGTTATGATGAAGGTGAGGAGATGTAATCTTCTAGCGGGACATATTACTGGGTTGACTAGAACTGATGAGAATTGCCATTGACCAGCAACTATCAATCTCTCCCATATGCACAGGAAAAACAAAGTGATGTTAATGCGTGAGTCAAGAGTAACATCATGAAGTACTATTTGTAGTAGTTGTGTGAGAAGAAAGGAGTGAAAAAGCTAGGATAACCAGAGCTATGGTCAAACAATAGAATATTAGGATTTAAAACTGAAAAAGTTGAGTAGCTTTGCAGAGGCAATAACTTTTTTTTTAATTGAGTGATTTTTTGCTATAGGGCATGTGTGCTCACCAGAGAGACAGAGAGAGACAGAGAGGCAGAGAGACAGAAATCACCCCCAGGGGGGATGGCCACACTGCAATCCCTTTTCCTCCATTCTCCTCTCAGGATCTTGGGCACGCATGTGCACACACCCGTCATGAGTTTAAGCCACTGGATCCAGGACTCGAACTGCGGTCAACTACATGGGAGTCCAGCGACATAGCCCTTATGCCAACTGCTGGTTCCCGAGGCTATAACTATTAAAGGCCAGGTTATGGAACATGAGGACCAATTGATCATAAACCTGAAATCTCTATCTTGAAAAAGACTCTGTCCTTTTGTTGAAAAGGAGCCTGAAAAACCACAGCAGAAGCCCAGTTGAGGACTACAGTTACCTCTTGCTGTCAACAATCACCATTCTATAGCTATCATCAACCATTTAGGGCTATATCCCTTTGACAGTTTAAGTTTTCCACCTAGGGGCAGAGGGTTACACACAGTGGTATATTGTTTGGGCAATGCATTTGATAAAGCTTAGGCTTTTATTATGAGGATTATTATTGCCAGAAAGTGTATATGCTCAACAGAGAGAGAAGAAGGAAAATAAATAAATAAATAAATAAATAAATAAATAAATAAAAATAAAAACAAAACACTCCTCAGTGGGGCTTGGTCCCACCACAATACATTTTCCTCCATTTCTCCTTCCAAACAAGATCTTGGGTGTACATGTGCACCTGGTTTGTTTTTTGAAGCTGCCATGACTAGGTCTCAAACCATGATTGGCAATGTGGAATCTGGCTCCCAATGCACAACCCTTAACCACTATACTAAGGGGGCAGCCTTAAAACATAGGCTTTTAACCGTCCTACAATAACTCAAGAAATGATGGTTTATCATTGTTTACTATTTTAAGAAAAGGAAAATTTCTTATTTGCAATATGCAGGCATTGTTAAATGTATAGTTACCATTTCATCCCTATTTAGTAAAATGTCATCTAATTGTTTTCATTTCATGCAGTGAAAATATGCCCTCACCTCCGCCAGCCCAAACATGGCCGCATCAGTTGTTCTACCGGGGACATGTCCTATAAGACAACATGTTTGGTTACCTGTGATGAAGGGTACAGACTAGAAGGAAGTGTTAGGCTCACCTGTCAAGGAAATGCCCAATGGGATGGGCCAGAACCTCGGTGTATAGGTAAGTTCCTGGATGATTTATTTCTCCTGCTCTCTGATTTCTCCAGTATTCTGTGAAGACCTAGAATTAAACATTGGTTTATCATGAATATAAATATATTTCCACAGATACAGATGCATACTGCATATGCAAATATGATACTATGCAAATATGTTGTTTTAACATACTCGGTAAAATGACTTCACTGAATTCAATTTTTTTCTTTCTTCTTTTTTTTTTTTTTTAAGAGATTTTTACTAAAGGTACAGGTGCTCTCTGGAGAGACAGACAGAAAGCAAGAAATCACCCCCTCCCCACAGAAAGAATGGACATGCTGCAGTCCCTTTTCTTCCATTCTCCTCTCGGGATCTTGGGCACGCACACACACACACACACACACACACACACACACACACATACCCAGCATGAGTTTTAAGCTACCTGGTCCTGGACTTGAACCTGGGTCAATTACGTGGGAGTCCAGCAGTGTAACCATTACGGATGGCATCTGCTGGTCCCCTGAATTCAACTTTCTAACCCACCGAAGTTTACAGCTTCAAATAGCAATTCTTTCTCTTTTTATCTCTCTCTCTCTCTTTCTTTCTTTCTTCTTTCTTTCGTTCATAGGACCAACTGGATGGGTTTTTTAAAAAAGCAAATATTGTGTCATTCCCTTCTTTTGTTAAATATGACCTACCTTGACCTTGTTGTAAAAAGTACAAAATTATGAATCAGTGAATCTAAATCTTTTTACTAGTGACTCAGCCATGGGAGCATTTTAACTTAATCATAAGTTTAAACACAAAGGGTACCAATGGCCTAGCCATGGTGGCACAGAGAATGGTGTGCTGCTGTGTAATTCATTATCATTTAAAACACGTTTTGAATAGAATTTTAAGAAATTTATATTAAATTGATAACTTTGACATAAAAAAGTCCATCTTACACTTATAGCTACTGTGGAAAAACAAAATGGGCAGTCTTATTAAATATGGAAAAGGAGAAAGACGGACAGAATCTTCCATGTTGTTTAGTATTATCCTGCAAGCTTTAGCTCTTATACTAAATCATAGATTAGAGCTTTTGTGATTCAAAATCACCGTCATTTGTAGACTACATGTCTACCTAAAGAACTATAATGAATCTCACTTTAGAAATAGGAGTTCATTAAAGTCATAAGAATATCAAATAAATGGAGTTTCTTTATATAATAATAAGCCGAATTTATAGTGCAAAATTACATTTAAAAGATCTTAGAATATATAAAATATATCAAGATAACCTTAAACAGAATGTGGGAAACCTCTATCACACAAACTAGAAAATGTTACCAAGAGACAAAAAGAACATTTTAAATTTATATTAAGTTTTATCCAAATGTTAAGTTCTCTCTAAATACACATATGGGTAAAACTGTAACCTCATCCAGTAGCCTAAAAGGAACTTTTTTCCCCTCTTTTGGAATTATGAAGTGATTTCAGAATTATGAAGTGATTTCAGAGTAAAATAAGTTTGAAAGGGAGGAAGACGATGACTAGTATAAAGAAAGTAGCTCTCCCAGGTTTTATAAGATATAAAAATATGCAAATGTTAGGAATATTTAAGGATTACCACACAGATCAAGGAGACTGACTAGATCCTGACATTTACAAGTTTAACTTATGATTGAAGAAATATCACAGGTCACTTGACATAGATTTATCCAACTAATTACATAGAAAAATCGGCTAGTTCTTTGAAAAACAAACAAAATAAAATTTTCTTGTATCTTTAATTCACATCACACATTGAAATAAATTCTTCATAAACTGAAAAGTAAAATATAAACCTAGAGGAAAGTTTCGTTAATATATGTAACTGAATACTAATCTATCGCAACTTATTGAACATAAAAACAATGTAAATACTTTTAGAACAAAAAAAATCAGCTTAGACTACAGTGTAGAAAAATTAAAGATGTGTTTACCCAAAGTACCATAAACAAGCAAAAAAAAAAAAAAGAAAAGAAAATTTGCGCAATTTTGATGGCCAGAATGATCATTTTCTCTGTTCAGCCAACTCTCAATAAAGGATAGTGAGTCTCACATAATCATTCTATTTGGAGCATAAATTTGGCTCTGATTTTACTGTTGATCAAAGCAGAACAGGAAATCTGGGCAAGCACCTGCTTCACACTGTGTGAAAATAAAGAGACAAACCAATTTCTCGGGAAAAATGGCTTTTGCTGGCACAGAGTTTTGAAAGAAATTATTTCAGAGATGAGGCGTGATGGTGGGGTGTATAGAAACACATGGGTTCTGCCACTCACCTGCTGGGTGACCTCGGGAAAGTTACTACTGTTTGTACACGGGGAGAATAACCATACTCCTGACCACACAGGATTAAATGAGCCAGTACATATAAAGCACTTAGAAGAACACTTGGTACCAAGTAGATACTGAGTACACGTTAACTTCTATTTCATGGGAAATACAGACTGAAAATGTGCAATGCTACCAGAAGAATCTCTACTACAACAAACTAATGTACGTATGGGACACACATACACACACGTACACACACATGCACCCTGCATTAACTCTTAACCTTGGCTTTCCATTCCACCTGCCTTGCCCTCATTCATCTGCTGCTCTTCATCTACACTAAAGGTGGCATCAAGAGTCAAGGCCCTAATTATAGCATGATGGTTTTAGAGAGGGAGCGAAAGATTTTCTTACTGTATGCTCACTTAAAGACAGCACCAAAACCTCATAAAATAGAGATTGATTGCTGACTATATCACTTAATCCATGAAAGGTGAAATCCAATTTACTACTTTATACTTCCAAGTCATAAAACATCCTGCAAACCAAATGAAGGGGCTTCAAGGAAATAATAACAGTTAGTTAGCATTGATTAAAAAATGGGGTCAGAGGGCCAGCAGATGGTGTGGTGGTTAAAGCACTGGATTCCCCAACATGGCTGATCATGGTTTGAGACCCAGAGGTTTAAAAATCAGGCCAGGGGTGTGTGTGTGTGTGTACCCAAAATCCCAAGGGGAGAATGGAGAAGGGATTACAGTGTGGCCATGTCCCCTGGGAGTAGTTTCTCATTTTTCTGGCTCTCTGTCTCTCTCTTTCTCTCTCTCACTGGCAAGCACATACACCGGATGGCAAAAATCTAAAATAAATAAATAAATAAATAAATAAATAAATAAATAAATAAATAAATCAATCAATCAATCAATCACATGGTTCAAGTCCTGGATCTGGCAACCTGAAAAAGGTGCTGGGTGCGTGGGCATGTATGCTCAATAGCCCAACAATGTGGAGAAATAGAGGAGAAGAGATTGTTGTGTGACCATGCCTGTGGAAGAGGGTCCTTTCTTACTTTCCCTCTCTCTCTCTCTTTCTCTCTCTCTCTCTCCAGTGAGTACACACACTTTCTAACAAATTAAAAAACGAAAACAATCAGAAGCTTCTCATGGTTTTATACACTGGCAAAGGAACAAGAGGTGACTAAACAGATACAGTTTACATGAGTACATCGCACGTGTGTGACCATGCCTGTGGAAGAGGGTCCTTTCTTACTTTCCCTCTCTCTCTCTCTTTCTCTCTCTCTCTCTCCAGTGAGTACACACACTTTCTAACAAATTAAAAAACGAAAACAATCAGAAGCTTCTCATGGTTTTATACACTGGCAAAGGAACAAGAGGTGACTAAACAGATACAGTTTACATGAGTACATCGCACGTTCAGTGGCAGATATGGTCATCATTTAGCTACTGGTATCTAGCCCGAGGCAGCACAATTGTATATTGAAAGAAGAAAGCTTATCTGTGGAATTTCCGATTTGTGGGAACACAAGCAACAGCCATAACAGTCTCATTTTCCTACAATAGAGCGCCACTGCTCCACCTTTCAGAAGCCCAAAGGTGTCATCGTATCCCCACCAAGCTGTGGCAAGCAGCCAGCTAAACCTGGGACAACTTGTCAGCTCAGCTGTCGGCCAGGGTTCATTTTATCTGGAGTCAGAGAAGAAGTGAGATGTAGCACTTCTGGCAAATGGAGTGCTCGAGTTCAGGCGGCTGTGTGTAAAGGTAGGTGCTCTGTGGGTCAGATAAAAGCCAATTATGGCTAAATAATTGACACACTGGTGTAGTGCAGGACCGTCTCTCTTTGCGGCTGGTACACAGACATGATGAAACAGTAGGTGTTGGGACCAGCGGATAGTGTAGTAGTAAAACATGACATTCTGTGAGGCTGACCCATATGGAAAGATTCCTGGTTCAAGTCTGGAGACCTCCCTGAGTGTATCAGGCATGATCTGGGGCTGAAGCTGCTGGTGAATTGCAGCATCAGGACCTTGTTAAGGGTACTGTCTGTCTGTCTGCCTTTCTCTCTCTCTTGCTCTCTCTCACTAGTAGAAGAAATAAAGTACAACTTTTTTAAAAAGCAGGTGTTACCCCAGTATGCACCATGAGAATTTCTGGTTCAAAATGGTGGATAAAATGCCACACAGTGACAAAAGAATAAGAAAATAAGTATAATCTTAGAACTGGAGAGTTTTCCACCAGGAGATTAAAATTGGTTAAGAATTTCTGGTCCATATAAAGCAGGTGAAACTAAATTTATTATTTTTTATAATTATTTATTTAATTTTATTTATTCCTTCATTTATTTTAGTTTGACTAGAGAGAGACAGAGAGAAGGAAAGTGAGAAAGCAAGCCACCAGGTCCAGGACTCAAACTGTGGTCGGCCATGTGGGAGTGTCCAGTGCTTTAACCACCATGCCACTTGCTGGCCTCCTCATTATTTTTTTTTTAATAATAAAGCTCTCAGCACTTCGAAAGCAGCATCCCATTACATTCACAAGATAGTATTACTGTTTTCCCTGTAGATGAGTAGACTGTGAAGAAAAACGAGGTGCTGAAAACAAGAAAGAGTTCTTAGAAGTAAAAATAACACATATTTCTCTAAGTGAAGAAAAAAAGGCAAAAAAAGACAAAAAAAAAGGCAGGAAAAGATATTGGTGAGAACTGGGTTAAGAGAGTTCAAACTAAGAGTTCTCTCAGAATGGAAAACTAATACAAAACTTGACTATCCTAGTGGACCAAACCATAAAACAAACAAACAAAAAACCAAACAAACAAAAAAAAGGAAGTCAAAAACTTGTAGTTATATTGTTATATATATATATATGTATATATATATATATGTATATATATATCCCAAACTCATTTATTAAGGAGTCTCAGAAGGAGAAAGGAAAGGAAAGGAATGAAGAAGAATTTTCCTACCAATAGAAGAAGTTTTCTTGAGGTATTTGAGACCAAAAATAGCCCCTGAGCACTGGCCTGGCATACTTTCACTACTTCTGGTGAAATTTCTGAGGTGGAAAATTAATGAGAAAATCTTAAGTAAGTTTCCAAATTAGAGAAAACTTGCATACACACACACACACACACACACACAAGAAAAACAAGAATCAAAATTTTATTACACTTCTCTTTTACAACTCTAAGCACCAGAAGGAAACATAGCAATGTCTACAAGATAGGGAGGGAAAATAAATATAAACTTTAAATTCCAAGTTCAGTCAGCCTGTTATTTAAGAATGATTGGATAACCACTTTTTAGATTTTCAGAATCAATATGCTATTATGAATCATTGTAAGAGGAGGCTGAGAAAAGCATATAAATTGAATAAAATTGTAAAGAAACGAGATACAATGAAATCAATTCAAATATATTCAACTGCAAGTTACAGAAGACCTAATTTAACATAATAACATAAAGATGTATTACAATAAGAAGTTAGCTCTGCTACAATTAATGTGGATTGTGTAACGTTACCACATCTAATTTAGAGCCTGTAATGTAACGTTTTGTACTGCAATAAGAATCACTGGGTTTAATTCGTTGTTTGTTTGACATATGTTTTAATACCACTAAATAATTCTTCTTGAGAGCCTCACTTTTAAATGTAGTTCCTTCCTGCCACAGTCAATATTTTTTTTTATTCCATTCAAAAGATATGTATCCTGTTCCTATTATATGCCATGCACCATGTAAGACAGTAGGACAAGAGATATTTCTAACTTCAAGAAACTTAATTCTATTGGGGGAAAAATCCATTTCTAAATGCATGTTGAGTGTCAGCACTGCGAGTGCAGAGGGCAGTGGGAACTTGTGGAGTGAGCACCTCAATTGACCAGGAAAGCTTCCTGAAGAGGTTGTGTTTAAGCTGAGAATAAAGGGCAATAATAATTATGTAGATAAAGTGGAAAGAGGACATTAATTTGGGCAAAGAAATGCACATGGTAAGAAATCCAAGTTAAAAAAACACCCAGGAGTTTTCATGACCCTGACAGTCATTCCACATGGAGAGTGAGTTCCAGTTGAAGAACTGTAACAAATGAAGAGGCCAACAAGAACCCATTCAGGAAGGGCCTTGTAAGTAGAAGATAACACTAAGATAATGATCGTGAGAGCAGTCACCTATTTCAAATCAGTCATTGGAATGTAAAACATGAGTCACGGGGCCCACAGGTGGCTTCATGGTTAAGGTGCTGGACTCCCACATAGCTGACTGTGGTTCGAGTCCCAGACGTGGTGGCTTGCTTTCTCTTTCTTAAATAACTTAGAATTACATATCAATACATTAATTGATTTATATATTTTCCGATTCAGATGTGGAACCTCCTCAGATTACGTGTCCTAAAAACATAGAAGCTAAGACTCAGGAACAGCAAGACTCCGCTAACATTACCTGGCAAATCCCAACAGCTAAAGACAACTCTGGTGAAAAGGTAAGGTTTCTGCAAAAATTGCATCCTTTTTCAAGTGAATTCTAACGTATCGCAAATATGTATGATACTGAAATTTTGCTACTGTCCTAATGCCAAAACTCTCTCTAGCTATACTCTGTTTACAAATGTTAATTCATCTCATAGAAGATCAGACTTGAGTTTTTAAATAAAAATCTCGGATTAAAAAAATTTGATTATATTAGAAATCTCAGCTATCCCTAACACAGAAATGTTTCTTTCCACAGATTTGTTGTAGTATTGTATCTACTATGGTTTCCTTGATCCTTACTCTGAAAGATTTTAAGAAAAGAGGTAGAATCAATTCTAATTCTTACTTATGAACATAGCTTTTAAAATATGAGCCCACAGGCCAGTAGGTGACATGGAGGTTAGGAATGCTGAACTCCCACATGGCTGACCATAGTTCAAGTCCCAGACCTGGCAGCTTGCTTTCTCACTTTCCTTCTCTCTCTCTTTCTCCCTCTCTGTCATCCTTCTCTGGTCACATAAATAAATAAAGTTAAGTAAAAATAATTATTCAAAAAAAAGAAAAAGAAATATGAGCCCCAAATGATTGCACATTGGCCAGTCTACAGGAGCTAGAATCAGTGATTCTTATTCAGATTTAGAGCAAATTCTTTTAATATTGTATGTATAGTAGCTTGAGATACTCATCCATCAGATGCTAGAAGAGAGGTTTCTTTTAGAAGTTTAACTCCTTACATCTACACTATTAGTATTCATATACATGAAGATGCCCATATGTTGTTTCCATGGCTGCATGTAAATATATATGTAAGTTGTGCCAGCCAAGATACATTTGAGAGGGGAGGAAGAACTACACCTAGAAGGTAACTATTCTGATCCTTGTGGTGAAAATATTTACAACGAGAGTAGATTAAGTCTGATTTTAAAAGATCCCATGTGACTTCCAGGGCTAATTTTATCATAGATGATATGTGTATTGATCTGTCTCTCCTGTGTGATGTTTCCACTTTCCATGAAAAGGTCATGAAAGCATATATTGTCTTTATCAACAGCAACACTAAAAAGAGCCCAGGCAGATATTTCAGGATCTGGAAAGAATTCACACTAAATATAGCGCCTGTGTGCACACCGATTCAGAAGTCACTTGTTATCATTTAGCCTCTGAGAACAAGACAGCTTAGCTTCTGACAAATAGGAAGCAGCAAACATTTCCTTTCCACTCTCTGTTCTCAGTGCTGCGCCAATTTATAAACCAGGCTGTCGTGTCCTGTTGCAAGCTTATCAAGTACTGTTCTCAGGGTTGTCTATTTCTCTCATTCAGGATAGCCGATGCACCACTCATGCAGCCCGAATTATACTTATTAGCCGACCCCCAACTCACCAACCTGGTAATTTGCCTTTTGACACTCTACTCAAATATTTCAACCTTTACAAGCCAGTATAGGTAAAAGAAGATGGAGACTTTGCTCTAATATTTTGCATCCTAGAGTGTGTAGTCATTTCAGAGGAGCTTTGCACACATGGTACATGTGGACACAGAGAGGCAGATGTTTCAAGGAAACAGTGCATGGTCTGGTTTATACATTCCCAGGTATTGCATGTGATCATAGGGAACCAAACATCTGTCTTGGAATCTATGGGAAGTCTATTCTCTGTCTCATGCCCATAAACATTGACATTAGGTGAAAGAAAAGTCCCCCATCCCACTCAAACAGAGCCACATAGAGGCAGCTCAGTAGTAAGATGGCTGTCTTAGAACTCCGTCTGTGGATTGTCATTGTATTCATACAAATGACATCTGATGGCATTGAAGTGGTTGAGATTGTCCAGGGCAGCTTGTGCAGATTAAGGGCAGTAAGAGAGCTTTTACCTTGAGAAAGATCAACACTTAAGAAATGGGCAGATGCGATTAAATGTGATCAGCCATAAGAGAAGGAAAAACTAGAAAGGTTATTCTCATGAAGACAAGGAAAGCGATCCATTCACACCAAAAAGGTTAGTGAATTATGTCATATACTAGATTTAAGACTGAGTTACATGGGACTGAATGACATAAATTAAATTTAGAATCCAAAAACTTAATACTGACCTTCATGAGGTCCATGTTAATAGAGTAGAAAATGTAAAAAAGGGATTATAATTGAATAAAGAATATAAAAAGAAAGTAGGCTATGAGAAGAGAGGAAAGATGATAATTCCTATAGGGTGAGGAGCTGAGGATAGGGTTTGTTTTTGTTTTCTGATATAGAAGAGATATACACATGTTTAATGACAACAGATCTAGTAGAGTGGAAGAAGGTGAAAACAGGGCAGAGGGAAGTAATCATGAGAAGTCGTTAGAAAGACAGAAGGAGGGAGTTCAGAGTGCAGTGGGAGTGAGTCAGGTTAGACGGGAGGAGGTCAATGTGTTCCTATACCATTGTGGACGAAGACAGGAAAGAAGGACATTGGCATATTGATACGGGTTAATTAGTATATTGGATGGTGACAGGAATTTGAAGGGTATTTTTACGTGGTGGCTTTCTCTAAGATTGCAGGGAACCGATAACCAATCATACAGTTCCAGTAGATGGATTAAATTATTAAAACCATTTGTAGGCCAAAATTCCTATAATCACGTAGAATTCTGGAAATTATAACCACAGCCATCTAAATCCCTAGCCTTTAATTCTGACAGAAATTACTAAGGAAATATAAAAATGAAGGGACAGACTTAAAATGGTGACTGAATATCAATTTATAGCTCATTTGATTTTATGGAGTAGGAGATGCTAGACTCACAAAATACCCTTAATCTTAGGCCAAAGGAAAACTGTGAGGATCCAGTGCATTGATATTCCTGGGAAGCTGAGCAGAGAACATGGAGTCACTGGCTTGTTCCTTCTAGAGGCCCTGAAAGAGAATTCAATTCTTGTCTCATCCAGCTTCTAGAAACTACCACATTCTCAAGGCTATGGCTGCATTGTTCTAATCTCTGTTCCACAGCCACATCTTTTCTTTTTCATTCCCACTCTCCTGCCACTCTCTCATAAGGACTCTTATGATTAGATTTAGCCCACATGGAGAACTCAGAATAATCTTCCCACTATAAAATTCTAAATTCAGTCATATCTGCTAAGTCTCTTTTGCCACGTAAAGTAACGTGTTCAGTTTCCAGGGATTAGGGAATGGACATCTGGGGTGGAGGGAGGGGACTGTTAATCAGTCCACATGGAGAAGAACTTGCATATGCTTCAAAGAATAGAGAGAGAAATGGAAAGAATCCATTGAGATGGAAAAGCTAAGAGCACTAGGAAAAGAGAAGACAGGCTCTCATGTATGGCTCCATGGTCAAACGTGCTTAGATCCCGAGTGCAATTAGAGGGATTAACCAGAAGGAGAGAGTTTTGAAGTATGAGGCATTAGGGGAGTAGAGAAATACAGTAGGATTCTTGGCTATGGTGGGGGCCCATTCAAGTTCGACGTTCATAAATTTACAGAGATTACTCCGTATTGTTGTGTGAATTTCTCCAGAAGTGATAGGAATCTCTGGTGTAGGCATCTCTGGCTTATCACAATGTAGAATATTTACAAAACACAGACAAGCAAAGCAGTTTATACTTTGGGGGAGGGGGGAATTTATTGAATCAGATTAAGAAAAAGAAAGAAAAGAACCAATGCTAATGATACTACTGTGACCATCCTCATATGACTAAGCCTCTGTCTTCACCTCTGATTATCCCCTAAGACAATTTTCAAAAACGAAAAAATTTCTTGGTGAAAAAGTAAGATGCTAAATTATGTGTATAATGTGATCCCATCTATAATTGTGTAACTCCTTTTGAACAGTCCGAACTAGGAAAGGCACTAATTGAAAAGAACATTTTTCTCCGGTCACATACTTTGGTTACTCTGAGGTATAACGATAGTCAAGTTCCATAATTAAAACCCACTTTCAAGGATTAAAAAGAAGAGTCTTGCTATCTAAATAAAAACTAGAGTCTTGAATCCACTTCAAAGCTTTTCCTCCTGCCGCTCAGAGCTGGCCTGAGTGACTTGGAGAGGGAGCAGCTGTGGAAGCTTTTTGCTTCTGTACCCACCCCCTCGGTTTCAGGCTTCTCTGGGTCCCAGCTGGTGTGAGAAACAGAATAATGGCCACTCCAAGCATATTCTTGTCCTAATCCCTAGAACCTGTGAATCTGTTTTTGCACGTGGCAGAGAGATGATGCAGACGTGATTAAGTTAGAATCATGAGATGGGGTGATTACCCCGGATTACTCAAGGGGACCCAGCTTGCTCACAGGAGACCCTAAGAGAGGAAGATCTTTCCCAGCTCTGATTAGAGAGAGCTGCTAGGACAGAGGGAGGATTAAAGAAATGTGAAGTGAGAAGCATTCGGCCGGCCACTGCTGGCTTTGAACTTAGAGGAAGGGGGGTGTGCAGACAGCCTCTAGAAGCTAGAAATGGCAAAGAAACACATTCTCCCTCTAGAGCATCCAGAAAGGAACTCAACCCTTCTGACACCTTGATTTTTAACCCTGTAAGGCCCAGTGTATTTAGTCTATAGGACCATATGATAACAAATACGTATTGTCTTAAGCCACTAAATTTGTAGGAATCTGTTATGACAACAATAGGAAACAAATGCAACTGGGAAAGGAGTTTTATTTATTTATTTCCTTCATAAGAGAGGGGGGAGGCACCCTCAACAGTCTTCATGCCATGATCCTACGCTAAGCCTGCAGGCACCCAGGATCACGGTGTGATGAGGCAGATCCAGGATGTGAACTTGGAACCTTTCACATAGTGTCCAGCATAATGCAGCAGCACTCCTGCTGCCTCTGCCACCACTGCTGGGCTCAGTGGAGTACTTCAAGGAAGGGTCCAGACAGCTGTCATTTAGATAATGCTGCATTACCCTCTCTCTTTGCTGCACTCTGAGAAGCGAGCATCCAACATTGGCTCTTGACCAACACATCTATAGATTCTGCAGGAAGCCCTGCAGGGGCATGCTCCCTTCCCGTACAGTTGACATGGAAGGGCACTCTGACAGGGCCTCTTTGGCACAGGCCTTGTGATATATCTCACAACCTCTTAAAAACTCTAGAATGGAGGGGGATAGTAGGTGGCATGGCGGTTAAGGCGCTAGATTCCCACATTGTCGATTGCAGTTAGAATCTTGGACCTGGCAGCTTGAAACGCATGCTGGATACATGTGCACCCAATCCTGAGAGGATAATGGAGGAGAGGATAATTGCATCATGGCCAGCGCTTTGTGATCGATTTCTGTCTCTCTGGTGAACACATGTTCTTTAAAAATCTTTTAAAAAATCAAAAACAAAAACAAAAAACCTCTAGAGTGGGGTATTGTAGAACCACTCAAGAACTGCCATCTGCTCCCTTGGCCTGCACATCTTCACCATGCTGAAGAACGAGAGTGTAGGTCAGTCTGTGATCAGAGTACTCCTCCTCCTAGTCTATCCGTCCCTCTCCCAAGTCTCGTTTGAACACGTGTCCTGTCTTCAACATCCACCAGGACAGAAACGGGCCTCTGTTTACACTCATTTGTGTTCCTAAACTGTGGGCCTCATTCTTACCCAGAACTCTCTACTTGAGGGTGAATCTATAGGTTTCTACTGCCCAGTCATCATCCAGCCTGGGAATGAGGTGTCAGCATCTCCTTCATGTAGATGCCCCTGCCCCATTCCAGTGTTCCAAGCCCAGCCCCTTCAGCTAAGGCATTTACTCTCTCCAAACCTTCCCTGAGGCAGAAGACAGGGGAAATGTCCCAGTGCTCTACCTATGTCCATGAAATCTCTTTGCTCCTGTGGCTGGTGGTGAGCACCAGGACCTGGGACAAGTTCAGCCACTGCATGTAATCCTCCTGCACCTTGCCCATGCTTAGGAGCTCTTCTTAGAATATGGGGTTCCTTAACATCCATACTGTCAACTTTGGAGCCACTATCATATGTGGAAGGAGTATATACTCTTTTAAAAATGTTTTTGAAACATACAGAAATCTAATTATCTGTGGGGAAAAAATAGAATTATCTATGGAGTCTCTCCCAAGTCAGATGAGCAAATTATCATTTTAACTTTTAGCCAGTTTAGGTATTATTGATATAATAGGAGATTTTTTATTCCAATTTATTATTGGCTAATTATTGTTTTTTTTATATGTAGTGTATTTCCTTCCCAAAATTATAACCTTTGGTATCTGTTTTGTAACCACATTTACCACAGTTTTTCAGACTGAGTCTTTGTTTATGTAGCTTTGGTGTTTGCTGACAGTTGTTTCATAGCATAACTTTTCCTGCTTGTGAGGTTTTTAGTTTGATTCATCTCTTGGTTGGTATGTTCAAAATCCTTTTCTTCAGAAAAAGTATATATAGGAGGTATAGTTACAGAGTCTTACATATACAAGAATATTTGTATTTCTAGACTAGCATTTAATGACTAAGAGAAGATGATGTATACTGATTAGTTTCCCCTTTTAGGTATTTTTTTTTCTTCCTGAATCCTGTGAGTATCCTTCGTGATATATTAAATTATTATATGAAATTTCATTATATATGAAATTATCCTTCATGATATATGAATTCGGGGATGGTTTTGCTTACATGCTTTGGCTGGTACATCAAGTCCTTTTTCAGCTGCAATGGCATAGCTTTTTCTAGCTTGAGGATTTGTTCGACATCTTAAGAGTATTTGTTCCTATTTGCTTTTTTGGAAATACCAATTATTCATATGTTAGACCTCTACTTTATGTTCTCCATATAACCTGTTCAAACCATAACTTGTCCTCCCAAATTTTTGTCTGTGTTCTGAATGAGCCTTTGAAACTTACTGAGTGTATACCTGATTTAATTTCCTGGAGCTAAATAACAATTTGAAGTGAGTACCCAGATACAGATAAATCTTTCCCACAAACCCCACTAAATAAGCGATATAATGTTACAGAATAAGTTATTTGAAAGAGATCCTACTTACAATGTATATGAAACACTGACAGGTGAAAAAATGAAATCAAATGGAAATCCATGACATATTTGTAGATGGGAAAAACTAAATAGTTATAGAATACAAATATAGAAATGACATGATCAACAGAATATGTTTGGAACATGACAGAATAATTCTGAAGTGTGAACTAGAAGAATACACAGATTAAAGTATTCAGAAGACTTAAGTAAAATAATAATGAAGGACAGTTGAATCCATCAAAAATAAAAATATGATATAAGATAAATAGAATGGTACCATACCATAATAGATGGTTATGTGTATATGGATTTTAGAATATCCTGGGAAGGGATCATTTAGCTTATAAATAGTGAGTGATTATTTTTAAATAAAAAGTTATATTCTTATACACAACTGCATTTCCAGTTTTTGCCATTATTTAAAAAGCCACCATCAAATGGATGCTTATTAAATCACTTCATGAATGGCCTTCTAAGCTTATCTGAAACATGTGCTCATATGTTTGCCCTTTATACTTTAGACAAGGCTCCACTGTATCATGAGCCTCCCACCTCAGACTCCCTAGTAGCTGGGGCTAGAGGTATATTCTACCATGCTTGACTTTTTAGGGTGGGCTAGGAGTTGAACCTGAAACTCTCATGTGAACTCAGAACTCTCAAAGATGTCAATCCATGTTCATACATGCTAGTGTAGCTGGGCCTCAACAATTTTTTAAAAATGCAGTGAAAATAAATATATTTGACTACAAAATATTCTTAGAATTTGCATTTTAAACAATTCTAAATAAAAGATACCAAAATGGAAAAAAAAAAACTTCAAATTTCTCAAAGGTTAGAATGTTTATTACATAGCATGCTAAGGCAAACTTATTGTTATTACATCACAATTTTCAAATGGATGAAGAAAGTAAATATATAATTCAGAAAGAAAAAATATATAATATTCAAACATATGAAAATTTAATTTTAGCATAATGCATGAAGAAACTGAATTAAAATAATGTCTTTTTTCTTGCCTGAAAAATGATGATATTTAATATAGATCAGGAACTTTGAGGACGTTGTCCTTGACATTATCAGACATTGACAATGAGAATGCAAGTAATTACTGTGCTTTGGAGAAAAAAATTGAGTCTTCTACCAAGAAAGTGTTCATGATTTGGCTTAATCATCCTGTTTATGAAAATTTATTATAAGGAATAAAAAGACTATAAGCAAGGTTTGGTTTTCTAAATTATTTTATGAGCGAGAGAGAGACAGAGAGAAAGAGAGGTAACACACCCACCCAGGTATTTTTTTCATTCTTTTAAAGAATTATTTATTTTATTTGATTTATTTACTTTTTAAAATTTGCTATAGGGCATGCACACTCACCAGAGAGAAGGAAAATGACAAAGCAAGCCACCAGGTCCGGGACTCAAACTGCAGTTGGTCATGTGGGAGTCCCGTACCTTAATCACCAGCTGACCCCTCTACCCGGGTCTTGATGCTGCAGTTCACCCCCGTTTACCTGGGATGGTGGCTGCACAGTGTTCCTGATGTACCCAGGGCAGTCTCAAGCACGTGAACCTGGAAACTTTCCAGGCAGTCATTCTGGCAGCACATGGTTTTTTTTTACCAATGTACCACCATCCAGCCCCATAAATATTTAAAAGTATTTTGTTTAAAACAAAAGGAATATGGGGCCATCAAGTGGCATGGTCGTTAAGGTGCTGAACTCCCACATGACCGACTACGGTTCTAGTCCCAGACCTGGTGGGTTGCATTCTCACTTTCCCTTTCTCGCTCACTGATCAGATAATAATATTAATAATAATTAATAAAAATTAAATAAATAATTCTTTTTTTAAAAATGGGGAACAACATTCCACATGCATTCCAACTCTATAAATTATATAAACAAAATAGTCTGGGAATAAATATGCCAGAAGCCTATGCCTGGCTTTTGTTTGTTTGTCTCTTTCCCCATATGAAGTATTTTTGACCTTACTAATAATATATGAATTAAAAAGAATAAGCGGACTGTTGACATAAATCTTACTTCCAAAATGTTTATTTACCCTCCAAAGGTGTCAGTCCATGTTCATCCGGCTTTTACTCCCCCTTACCTTTTCCCAATTGGAGACATTGCCATCACGTACACGGCAGCTGACCTCGCCGGCAATCAAGCCAGCTGTACTTTCCATGTCAAGGTGATCGGTAAGTTGTCTTCAAATCATTTCAGTGTTGGCGAAAATAGTCCAGTACCCCAGGGACTTTCCTTCTCTTCCGTCTTCAACGACTCCCTTTCCACTAGCTCTTCCTACTGTTATTGAAATCTGCTCGAGCAACTCTCTCTGAGTCCTGCATATTGTTTATCTTTTAAAGAATTACTTAATTTTATTCATTTTTTTAAAATTTGTTACGGGGCATGAGTGCTCACAGAATGAGTCAGGGAGAGAGAGAGAGAGAGCGAGCAAGCCACCATGTTCGGGACTCAAACCGTGGTCAGCATATGGGAGTCCAGTGCCCAAACCACCACACCACTTGCTAGTCCCGCTCCATACCCTTTAACTAGCACTGGATCTCTTTGATTTCTTCCCATATGAGTCTTTTGAAACATTCCCAATGGTTATCATTAGTTTTTCCTTAACTGTCATTTCTTTTCTTTTCTTTTCTTTTTTTTAAAGAGAGAATTTTTGCTGTAGGGTATGTGGGCTTGCTAGAGAGATAGAAAGACGGAAAGTGAGAAATCACCCCCTAAGGGGATGGCCACACTGCAATCTCTTCTCCTGCATTCTCCTCATGAGATTTTGGCATGTACACACATGTGCAAGGCATGTGTTTTAAGTCACTAGGTCCAGGACTCGAACCATGGTCAACTACGTGGGAGTCCAGTGACGTAATGATTACACCATCTGCTGGTCTCAACTGCCATTTATTTTCAAAGCCACACGAGTCTGGTTTCTGTCTCTTTCTTTTTGGTTTTTGCCATAGGGTGTGTGCACTTGCCAGAGAGAGACCAGGAGAGGGAAAGTGAGAAATCACCCCCTAAGGGGGATGGCCACACCACAATCCCTTCTCCTCCATTCTCCTGGGATTTTAGACATGCACGCACATGCATCTGGCATGAACCCAGGTCTGGGGTTCTGACTGTGGTTAGCCATGTGGGAGTCCACATGGAGTGTGCCTTCACGACACCATGTGCTGGCCCTGGTTTCTGTCTCTTTCACTCCTAGGTTACTGTCATCAAGCTCACCAGTGACCTCTGATGTTATTCCAACTGCACACTTTCCAGTTCTTGTTTTATGTAGTGTTTTCTTGGATTTTACATTATTAACCATATCCTTAAGTACATACAGCCTTTTCAGTATTCTTTAAGACATGAGCCTTACAAGTTGAATGGAAAATATCTTGGCTCTTTTTTTCATCTGATACTATGATTTTAAATGTGGAAATGTGTTTCAGGAGTTTGCCAAGTTTTAATTTTTCATAATGGAGAATCAGCATGGCGAAATGTGTAATGTGTACTCAAATCTCTAGATGGTAGCTGGAATTCCAAATTATAAAAGAAAGGAGGGCCCAGCAGGTAGTGTGGTGGTTAAGGGCGCTGGACTCCTACATGGCCCACCACAGTTCGGGTCCTGGACCTGGTGGCTTGCTTTCTCATTTTCTTTCTTGCTCTCTCACTCTGTTCTTCTCTGGCCAAATTGGAAAAATAAAATAAATACAAAGATAAAATAAAATAATTATTTTTAAAAAAGAGGGGAAAAGGGAAGGAAGAAGAAAAAGGAGAAGGAGAGGCCAGCAGGTGGTGTAATAGTCAGATCACTGAACGTCCACATGACCAACTGGGGTTTAAGTCCCAGACCTGGTGGCTTGAAACTCAGGCTGGGCACATGTTCATGTGTGCCCCATATCCTGAGAGGAGGATGGAGGAGAAGGGATTGCAGTGGGGCCATCCTCCTGGGAAGTGATTTCTCACTTTCCCTCTCATTGTCTCTCTCTGTCTCTCTCCTGTGAGCACACAGGCCCTAGGGCAAAATCCTAAAAAGAAAAAAAAAAAGGAAAAACAGCAAGAAGAAAGAGACACAGAGAAAACATAAGAAAAGACAGACAGAAAATATTCCAAAGCCTACCTGTTTAAAACGTTTCTGTAGGGAGCCAGCAAGTGGTGTCATAGTTAAAGAGCTGGACTCCTACATGGTTGACTGGTTTGAATCCCAGACCTGGTGGCTTAAAACTCATGCTGGGCATGTGTGTGTGTGTGTGTGTGTGTGTGTGTGTGTGTTGTGTATACCTAAAATCCCGAGAGGAGAATGGAAGAGAAGGGATTGTGGCATGGCCATCCACCCTGGGAGTTGATTTCTCAATTTCTCTCTCTGTGTTTTTCCAGCAAATGCATATGCCCTATAGCAAAAATTTCTTTCAAAAACAAACAAAAAAAATGTCTCTAGGGTGTTGGTGTCTTACTGATAAATGAGAGGCAGGTGGGAAGGCTTCTGCCTGGCATTCCACAGATACTTCCTCACTTGCTTCGAAGTGGAGTTCTACCCTTTGGACACAGCACATCTGCTTGTACCTCCTTGTACCTCTGATTCTTTGTCGTTGCCAGAGGGCATGTGCACTCACTGGAGAGAGAGAGAGAAAGATGCACATCTTGCTTGTACTCCAACATGGCTCAGACCTCCGCCCCGTGGATTTTCCATTTAGCCATCTGTCAGCCCTGTCTTGATCCTTCGGCTAAGAGGAGTCTCGTGGCTTGGCCATTTGCTTCCCTTCTTAGTGGGTCAGCTCTACGATTGTGGGCAGAACCCACAAAGTCAATGCTCATCACATCCACAATTGCCTTTCACAGCTGTGCTCATGGTTTTAGGAACTTGATATTCCTTCTTCAACAGATAGAGGGCAGTATAGCAAAATGCAACTCTTTGGACGTTGACATCAAGGGTACAACATACTTCATCATCAGAGGAGCCACAAGGCCAGCTTTGTTTCTTACAACTTCAAGGTTTCCACCAGCAGCCTTCAATTCTGTGTTGTATCATTTTGATGATCAGTTATGACTTCTTTGTCTGAAGTCTTTGTCATGTTTTTCAGATGTAGAACCACCTGTCATCGACTGGTGCCGCTCTCCACCTCCACTTCAAGTTTCAGAAAAGGAGCATGTGGCAAGCTGGGATGAGCCTCAGTTTTCAGACAACTCAGGTGAGACTGTGGGAATTTTGTTATCAGCATGGTAACACTGGGTTATACTTTATTTAGTTTTCTTTAATATATTTTTTTAAGAATTATTTTATTTAACTTTATTTATTTATTATTAATTTGACCATAGAGGGACGGAGCAAGAGAGAGAGAAAGTGAGAAAGTAAACCGCAAGGTCCAGGACTCAAATCTTGGTCAGCCATGTGGGAGTCCAACTCCTTAACCACCATGCCACCTGCTGGCCCCTGTATTTTATTTTAAAAAACTTTTTTAGGGCCAGCTAGTGGTGTGGTGGTTTAGGTGGCTGGGTCCTACATGGATGACTGCATGGTCTGAGTTCCTAACATGATTGCTTAAAAGAATACATCAGGTGCCTGTGTGTGTAACCCAAATCCTGAGAGGAGAATGGAGGAGAAGGGATTGAGGCACGGTCATCCCCTCTGAGGGGTGCTTGCTCACTTGCTCTCTTTCTCTCTCTCTCTCTCCAGTGAGTATATATAAACTATAGCAAAAAAATGTCTAATTAAAATGGATAACTGTAATAAAAATATTTTAATGCTACCACTGTAATTAAATATAATTTAACATGATTAAGCTTTCCTGTTCATGGGGGTTTTTTCCTTCAATAATCAGTGGACATTAGCCTTGCTAGGTGTGGTACCTGAAATTGTTACAATGAGTTTATTGAGTCTCTTTGCTTGAGTTGTACCAAAAGCATCAACTATGCAGTCTATGATACCTCTAGCACAATCCAATGTCTCCATACTCAGTTCTTAAACACTTGCCATACAAATTATAAAAGTTCATAGCAAGGTAGAAAGAAACTGAGTATACCCAACTGAAGTTCACTTTAAAGGTTTCACTAAAACCCAGAAAGCAACAATAAAAATGCAAATTAAAATAGATTTCTTAATTAAACTCCCAATGGTCCGATAGACTGACCTATTCAAAGACAGGTCTTTATTTAGCAAGAATGGTTCTTATTTAATGGAGTTTTGAGTCTTCTATTTCCATGTTATTGTATAAATATTACATCTTTGTTTTCTACTCGTAGACAAGTCCAATATAAATGGAATGATCCACTGATTTGCAAGGAGAGAAAATGAAACTTCAAATCAGAGCGTAATAAAGTGACCACAGACAAATGCCAAATTGAATCCCTTTTTTCCTTTCCAGGGGCTGCATTGGTCATCACCAGAAGTCACACACAGGGAGATCTTTTCCCTCATGGGGAGACTATTGTGCGATACACAGCCACTGACCCCTCAGGCAATAACAGAACATGTAACATTCGCATCGTCATAAAAGGTATTTTATTTATAAGTTGCCCAAATTCTAGTCGACATTTAATGTATGATTGCTCTGCAGTGTCTATCAATATTTCATAAAAGGAAATAGGCTCTGAGCAATAGATTTTCCATTAGAACACTGACAATTGTTATTGTTATTTAGGTTTACAATTGTTATTCATTGACCTCATGATAGATAAAAGTAGTTTTTTACATTTTATTAATGTTTTGTCTTTTTTTTTCTTTTACATTTTATTAATATGTTTTCTATGGCTACCAAGTATTATTGACGTGATTCTATTTTGAATGTCTGGGGAGCCAAATTCTGAAAATGTACTCACTGTGTAATGTTGTCTAGTTTTTGTTTTTATGAAAGAAATGCCAAAAATAATGACCCTAAGTCAGAATTATTTTTAGCTTTTTATAAAATATGCATGACTTCTAATTAAGCATAGCTACAGTTTTGGTATTTTTTGTTTTTTGGTTTTTGTTTTTTTTAAGAGATATTTTCGCTATAGGGCATGTGCGCTCACCAGAGAGATAGAAAGTGAGAAATCACCTCCCTGGGTAATTATGGCCATGACATAATCCCTTCTACTTCATTCTCTCCTCGGAACTTTGGGCACATACTCACACACACCCGGCGTGAGTTTTAAGCCACTAGGTCTGAGACTCGAACCATGGTCAGCCAGATAGAAGTCCAGTGCCTTAACCGTCATGCCATCTGCTGGTTCCCTAAGTACAACTTTTTAATTTGTGGTTATCTAGGTACAAAAAGAAGAGGTTGCCACCACCCCACACTAAGGATTGACAATGTAAGTTTTTCTAGGAATAGTGATAGACAAGAGGAGTCCTTTTCAAAGTTCAGCTTCGACTTCTGAAATTTAATATATCCTTCTTATATCACTGTATATGACTGATACATTTTTTCACATAGGTTCTCCCTGTGAAGTTCCATTTACACCTGTAAATGGAGATTTTATTTGCACTCACGATAGTACTGGAGTTAACTGCACATTGATTTGCTTGGATGGCTATGATTTCACCGAAGGGTCCACTGAGAAGTATTATTGTGCTTATGAAGATGGTATCTGGAATCCACCATACTCCACTGAGTGGCCAGACTGTGCCAGTAGGTCAATTTTATTCTGAACCCTAATCATATGTGTTTGTGTGTGTATGTAAACCTCCATGTATTGAAGAAGAAAATGCATTTTTGCAGAAATTAGTGGGAAATGGTGCCATGAATTTGAAATGTTAGTGACTAAGAGAATTGCTTTTCCCTGAATTTAAAATATTATCCACCAGAATCTTGTTCTAGATTGGATCACTGTAGAGAAAAATTCACTTGAAAGCAAAACTATCTTAGCCCTCTTGCTATTTACTAGAAATATCTAAAGACACTTGTCAGCCTTCGTTCTTGGCCTCTAAACTTGAAAATATCTTAGAAACATCTAAGACTCAGGGTCTGCTGCCAAGCTTATATTGTAAAAAAAAGATCCAGCATACACCATGGTATAAAACAGACCTGTCACCTTCTCCTTAGATTTTTATTAGGTTGTGGAAAAACCTAGTGACACATTTTTCTATGCAACAATGTGTCACAGCTTTCCCAATGACCCAATATTTATTTGTAGAGTTATTCTATAATCTTACATTTATATTTCTATCAAAATAACCCAAGATCTTTGACTAGAGTGCATAAATGACCTTGGGAGTGAATATTTGATTTAGTACCATAGGTGGAATTTAAATGCTTGTGTCTTAGAAAAGGATAAAGCCCACTTATTTGGGATGTTGTTTTCTTTTTCCCCAAATTGGAAAAGTAACAGAAAAGAGTACACTCACCTCTTTCACATAGACGAGCAGTAGGATGCTGTCAAGAGGCATTGGCCCTTATATTTTATAACATCTTGCTGAGTCTAACCAAGTACTTCTGCTCCAAGAAGACATTTGATTCTGCAGAAATTACACTATAAGGGAATATGATTGTACATATTTAGAAAATTTTGAGTGTCTGTTGGCTGAAAATCTCATATAAATATAAGTAGCATAAATTTATATGAGTATAAAATATGATAGCTTTGAACTAGCCAAGATTTTTCAAAATTTCCCAGGGATATAATGAAAACAATTTTATATCTCTGATTCCCTAAATACTCACTTTTTCATATGCTTGGACAGTAAAGAATAATATATCAGAAACAAACTGGGAAACAGCAGAGGGCTGCATAGCTCTTGGTTAATTATGATCAACTAATGCCTAGAAACATTCCTGAACGTTTTTATAACAACTCCACAAATCATACTAGAATTAAAATATGAAGTTTCAGTTATCAAACAGAAAGTTAAATCTTCATTGTGAAGACACTAACCAGCTGAAACTGTTTTGTCCAACATTTTCCAGTAAAACGTTTTGCAAACCATGGATTCAAGTCCTTTGAAATGCAGTACAAAGCCACTCGTTGTGATGACACAGATTTGTTGAAGAAGTTTTCTGATGCATTTGAGACCACGCTGGGGAAGATGGTATTTCAGTAGTATTCTTTATTGTGTGTGGTGTTTAAAGGGGCAGTGTTATGGAATTTTATAGACTCCTGCGTCATTTGCAAATAAAACTCCTCATCTGGATTATTCTGTTCTTGTCTATGATCCAAACTAGTACCTAATATTTAGAATTAGTCATAAGTTTTAGACTTCTGGAATGAATGTTAAGTAAATATGCATTAAAACTTAAAAAAAAAAAAAAAAAAAAGACAGGACTCAGAAAGTCAGGAGCACTGAAAAGCCTTTTAGAATTAGTCATAAGTTTTAGACTTCTGGAATGAATGTTAAGTAAATATGCATTAAAACTTAAAAAAAAAAAAAAAAAAAAGCCCTGACTCAGAAAGTCAGGGAAGCTTAGAATCCATGTGGCTTGAGACTGTCTGCTTTATTATTAAGGCCTGACAAAAATGCCAAACATTGTAGACTATATATATTTTTTTATGAGGAGGACTTAATGAGCATTTAAAGAATTTTCTTTTTCATGCATTTTTGTTTTGGACTATTTCAGTAATGAAAAGAGAGAAGAACAATATATTTACTCTATTGAACATCTTGAAAGCAGAAACATGCTGTACACATATTTGTATGCCTAACAGAGGGGGTAACATTTTATTTATTTGTTAACACACATTTTATGATGCTGTTGGCCATGTGCCGAACATCATTATAAGTGCGTTAAACATAGTGACAATAAACACTTGTTGGAAAATGCTTAATGTAAGTCTATTCAATAAAGCCAAATTCTAAGAAGATGTTATTATTGTTGCTATCAAACCAAGAAAAGAATACACTCATTTGACCACTGTGATTACAAAGCTTTATTTGAAAAGGCAACAATACACTCATATCAATTATACTTCAACCAAAACTGCTGAAGTATCCCTTAGCTATTTAATAGAACCTGCACTGAAAGCATGTGAAAGTGACTTCTTGTGTGTTTGCTAAATTTGGGGATGATGTCTTATAAATTCAGCAGAAGTAAAAGAATTGTTGGATTCCTAAGAGTCGGAGAGGGTCAATTTCTAATAATGACGAGGTCTGAAGGTGTGACGATGGAGTGAGTGACAAAGTAAGGCTGAAAAACAAGAAAGAAGAAAAAAAGGAATGGAGAAGCCAGGAGATAGAAGGATTAGCAAGACAAATATGCCCACCACTAAGAATGATAACAGGCAGGTACTGAACGTTCTTGGAGAGGAAGTGACCCAGAGTGGAGAAGGCTGCAGATGAGCGCCACAGGACCGGCGATGAGTGGTAGAGTGCTGGTGTAAACTTGAGAACGTGAGGCTTTAGCAAATGTGAGGGAATGTGGTGGAAACAGCAATGAAAAATATGGAGGACACTTCCCTCTCTCTGGTCTACCCAGAATTCCAGAATCCTAGAATTCCTAGTATTTCCAGGATATTTTGGGGAAAATATCCCAGAAAATGGAAAAATCAGGTTTCATTTAGAGCAAAGGCAAAGGAAACATAAAGAGAGAAACTAAAAAAGTAGTAGGAGATTTGGTGATTACAGGTCATAAGCTTCCGAGGACAGAGAAGGTTTGGGATACTGGGAGATGCCTGGGAGACAGGGTCAGCGAAACAGATCTAAATGGCCATTCAGGGAAATTCAGAGACAGATATCCCAGGAGCCCTAGGCTTCTGGTGGCAGAGATCAAAGGCGTGAGAGTAATGCTGACTGTCTGCAGGCAGTGGGATGCTCTAGGGGAGGAGGGAGAGCAGGGTCAGGAGCCTTTTGAGGAATACATAGAGCTCTGGGCCCTCCCTTCTCTCCTGCTGATGGAGATGTGAAGACCAGGAGAGCGAGGGACCCAACCAACGCACACAGACATGTGACTTACACTTACCGTCTTCCTTCCTTCCTTGCAGGTCCCATCATTTTGCAGTGACGCTGATGACATTGACTGCAGACTGGAGGACTTGACCAAAAAATATTGCCTAGAATATAATTATGACTATGAAAATGGCTTTGCAATTGGTAATTAAATTACATAGCATGGTAGTTTGTAAGACTAGTCTATAAATAATAATGCCAGAAAAGCGAGGCAGAGTGGAAAAATGAACTTTTATTAATATATTTATTAAGTATTTTAAGATGACAATATGCTTTGATAACATGCATAATGACCACTGTGGGTATACCAAATTTGGATACTGAAAAAATTATTTTATTAGTCAAATACTTCAGAATAATGCAAACTAAGAAAACTGAGTCACATTAAGAGAATGCAATTCCAATATTAATATGAGGGAGGAGAACAGTAATCGTTGTAGCATACAATCTGCAATTCTTACGTGGTATGAAATTTAAATTGCAAATAAGCCATTAATGTAAAATTATTAGCACACAAAGAATATTCAGATTCCTGAATATGTTAAGGATCAATTTATTTAAGTCTTTTTTTGATGAAATTTTGTTGTTTTCTTCAATAGACTCTGAACATTTTTAGTAAGGTTATTTGTTAAGTGTAGTATGTGATTTTTGGCTAATATGTCTGGCTATTTAGCTTATGGCCTTAATATTTTTAGATGATTTCAATGGTTTCTCTTGGGTCTTGGCAACATTATCCTGTCCAGTAATTATACTTCTTTTTTTATTTTGTTCTTGTAAAACTGTCCAGAACTTTCAAAGTAGTGTTTAGAAAAATTATAGTGATAACATAGTGGGTTAGCACTTGAATTCTACCATCAACTATCGTGGTCTCAGGCCTGGATTCACATCTACTAACTGTGTGGTCTTGAGCAAGTTATCCAACAATGATGTGCCTTAGTTTTCTCACCTACAAAATGGGTATATAAGAGTTTTCACTTCTTAAGGTCATTTTAAGCATTAAATAAATAAGTAATTAGAAGGTTACCTGAGACAGTAAGTATTAATTCATATTACAGCAGATATCCTTTCTGTTTCTGACATTAATCATGTTAGTAATAATTCCACTGATTTAACCACAGTGGTGTCAGGTCATCTAGACAGGTCTGCACAGCCAGATTGCCTTCAGGTAGATGCATCATACAAGCATTTAATTTATCTACTGCCTTTGGAAACTACCACCACTTATAAAAGTTGATGCAGATATCTTGCATAAGTTTCCCCAAAGGAAATCTATTTATGTGCATTATGTTTATAAAGACAATATTTAAAAATGAAAAAAAAATAGAATAAGCTCTGCAGGGAAAAAGCAATTGATTTGAATTCTGTGCCTCCCCCCTGTTCTATCTTTAGGGAGACAATACCAATAGGATATGTATCAATAAATAAGAAGGGATTTACTGGGGAATTGGCTCACACAATTATGATAACAAAATGGTCCCAAAATAAGCCATGTGCAAGCTAGAGACCCTGGGATGCTAGCAGCATGGTTCAGTCCAAGTGCAAAGGCCTCAGAGGCAAGGAAGCTAATGATACAATTCTTAGTCTAAGACCTAAAGCCCAAGAACCTGAGATTGGGTGGAAGGGCCCCCCATGGTGTGAATCCTGGAGTCTGAAGGCAGATGAGCCTTGAGTTCTAATGTTCAAGGCAGCAGATTTATCTCTAGAACTAAGATAAGCAACTCTTAACTCAAGACAAAAATAGTATAAATGCCTAGGTAGCTCCCTACATACTTTTCTTTCCTCTTTAGGTGTAACTCACTGGTGATGTAAATCAAATATGACGTACTCCAAAATTACAAGCTGAGAGACCAGACCCTGTCTGTGGTACACGATGGACAGTTTAGGAAAATGGTCAAGTGCTCTTTGACTTGTGGCCTCACATTAGAGCCTCGGTGTTGAAGAAGATGCCACTTTCTCAGCAGTTATTTGTCTCTCTGCCCCAATTACCCAGGACCAGGTGGTTGGGGCGCAGCCAACAGGTTGGATTACTCTTACGATGACTTCTTAGATGCTGTGCAAGAAACATCCACCAGCATTGGCAAAGCCAGATCGTCACGGATTCAAAGAAGTGCCCTGTTATCTGACCACAAAATTAAGTTAATCTTTAACATCACAGGTAAGGATAAACTCCATTAGAAAAAGGTGAAATTCCTGATTGGGAGTCTGTTTCTCAAATCTCCTGTTTGTTGTCATTATTATGAAATGACCCTGGCACTTAAAGTTAGTGAGCACGCACAATCAATTAAGTCTTATCATCTTTTGCTGTTCATACCAAAGATATATTTTATGGTTCTCACAGAAATAAACACTCTGCTTTGTTCTCATCTTGGCATGTTGAACCAAGGTGTGTTTTGATCATTCAAGAATTTATGGGAATTTAATATGTGACAATGAAGAATGTCCCCAAAAGGTGATCTAGATCCAACTTGTGAGAATTCAACAAAGGATTCAAATAAATTGTGTTGTCCTTAATATTACCCATGTACTTACTTGTTCAGTGGGTAATGGTTGAGTTTACTTTCAATTAGTTTTTCATGAAGGATTTTTTAATGTGCCATTTCTATTTGGTAAAAACTAACTACAAATGGCTTCCTGAAACACCGAGTGGTGTGGTGTGTTTTATTTTTTTTGTTTGTTTTTATCCTAGCTAGTGTGCCATTACCTGATGAAAGAAACGATACCCTTGAATTAGAAAATCAGCAGCGGCTCATTAAGACTTTGGAAACTATCACAAATCGGCTGAAAAGGACACTCAATAAAGAACCCATGTACTCCTTCCAGCTTGCGTCTGAAATGCTGGTAGCTGACAGCAATTCATTAGAAACGGAGAAGGCTTTCCTCTTCTGCAGACCAGGCTCAGTGCTGAGAGGCCGTATGTGTGGTAAGTCTCCTCCCTGTGATCAAGAATATTGGGTGTATATTGGGTCAGATGAGATGGGCTTAACCATTTTACAACTCTAAAGGGATATTTAAATGTGACACACCTTTTGCTATTATTGCATGGTGGTGGCTATTACTATTTTGTCTCCAGAGTCCGAGTCTCCACTGTTGGTCAGGACAAGAAAATTTAAGCTGAAAGACTCAGTCTTACTCTTATTTCTGATCTTCAGACCTCCTAACTTTCAGCAGCAGCTCTAATAATAACTAAAACTTTGACCACTTCTGTATGCCAGTCAAACACCTCTCAGTTCAGTCCTGTTCAGCACTTCTGTGAGTGTGAAGTCCATTTTGCAGATCAGAAAACTGAAATCAGGAGAGAGAATAAGTTGCCCAATTAGTATTACCCATTAAGACAGTGAGAGGTATAGCAAAGATTCTCATCCAGCCATCCAACACGTAAATCTTAGCTTTTTTACTTGAAGTAAAATTCATATAAAATAAAATTGACCATCTTAAAGTGTACATTTCAGCGGCATTAAATATATACACAGTGTTATGCAGCCGTCACCTCTATTTCCAAAACCCAAAGCCATGAAGCAATCATTCCATTCTCCCTTCTCCCAGTTCCTTAACTTTTCATCGCTATTCTAGATCACCACTATTTGGGTCAACTCCAGCCTGCTTCCCAAAGAAGCCATTGTTTATAGGTAATGGAATCTCCTCTAACCAAATTCTGTAAATTAAACTGAACCCAGTAACAGGTTAATCTCCCTGTAGGTATGAGCTCTTGTGTCCTGTCTGGAAAACTTTCTTCAATAGTCTTATTGCTATTTCAGAACTCGGTTGGGTTTTTCATAGTGTGACTAATTCAACCCATCAAAAGAACATTAAAAATGATAACATGCAGGGCCAGCAGGCGATGTAGTGGTTAAGGTTCTGGATTCCCACATGGCTGACTATGGTTTGAGTCCCAGACCCAACAGTTCGAAATTCATGCCAGGCACGTGTGCATGTGTGCCTAAAATCCCAGGAGGAGAATGGCAGAGAAGGGATTGCAGTGCGGCCATCCTCTTTAGGGGAGGGCATTTTCTCTCTTTCTTTCTCTACATCTCTCTCTGTCTCTCTGGCAAAAATCTCTCCAAATAAAATAAATAAATAAATAAATAAATAACAGATAATATGCTGAGCCCATGTTTGCTTCCTCCTTACCTAGTGAGTGAAAATCAGGAGTCATCTTGACTGGTATTTCTCATTTTCCAGTGTGATCTTTAGACCACTTATGTCAAAATCCCTTAAAATGCTTATAAATACATTTTTGACTCAACCTCAATCAGAATTAAGGCATCTGACTCTTTGGGGGTTAGGGCTAGGAACCTTCATTTTTACTATATAGCCTGGTAATTATTACATCCTTTAATATGACAGAATGATCTGAGTACTAATTTTAAGTATGTTCTCTATGAGACTACTAACTTCAATAGTAGCCTTTTCTGCCAGTTTAATTTTCTACATTAGCCTCAGAATTTCAGAGCCACCCCAAACCTATCAAAAAGTAGACCAACTCCCCAAGGAAGGAATTGGTGAAAATTAGTGTTTCCTTGGGTCTGAGAACGCCTGGGCTTGCTTTTAGCAATTTCTGCAAGCAGAGACAAAGCTCTGTTTAATTCATCTATGCTAATCTCACCACTTGTGCCCATCTGTAGAAATGATACTGAACAAGCAGTTAGTTTCATAGGGGAAATATTCAGAGGAACAGCTAAGAAAATGTTCTGAGTATCTCAGATCCACAGAGTAGCCGAATATTCATTGTTTTATCCCTTTCTTGAATCAGGTTTCTCTTTGTTAACTGTATTTCCCATGATAGTTAAACCACACTTTAAAACATCCTGCATGTAAGCCCTACACTTGGTCAATGAGAATTTGTATTTTCTTAAAAAAAAAAAAAAAAAAAAAAAGGGCAGCTTATTTTTTAAGAATTATTTTATTTATCTTTATTTATTCTAATTTGACCAGAGAGGGAGGGAGAGAGACATGGAGGGAGTGAGAGAGATGGAAAGGGAGGAGGAGAGGGAGAGGGAGAGGGAGAGGAGAGGGAGGGGGAGGGGGAGAGAGAGAAAGAGAAAGAGAAAGAGAAAGAGAAAGCAAGCCACCAGGTCCAGGACTGCTCTTAATCACCATGCTACCTGCCGGAAACAAAAGCTGACTACTCTTGGTTTCTAAGAATACATTTCTGGAAGGTTTACCTGCTGAGTAAACTTCTGGCAGTAAAATGTAACTCATAAATAGCACCTCTAAGCATGCCTTATTCCTTTCATGTCCTGGGGGTGGGGGTAATGAATATGTTTATGGCTATAGTTTCCTTTAGTCACTGTTTTCTGTTTGTTTTCTTTACAGTCAATTGCCCTTTGGGGACCTATTATTCTCTAGAACATTCTGTCTGTGAAAGCTGCCGGATGGGGTCCTACCAAGATGAAGAAGGGCAACTTGAGTGCAAGCTTTGTCCCACTGGGACTTACACTGAGTATCTCCATTCGAGAAGCATCTCTGAATGTAAAGGTAGAGGTTAATTAGACATTTCAACCAGAAACAGCCTGAATTTTGTTTCCAGTTATTGAGGGGGGAAAAAAATTTATTTTCTTCACCCTTCACTAGGTTTATAGCTGAGGCCCCTACTAATATAAGACAGATTAACAAGAGAAAAGCACACAGTTTACTTAACATAAATTTCATGTAACAAGAGCCTCAGAATTGAAGATCAAAGGAAATCTGTGTATTTTTATGCCGAGGTTAGTGAAGGAGCGGATAGTTGTGAAAAATATAATTGGACAAAGGGGTTATAACATAATGGTAGAAAACTGGGAGAAACTTCGCCGGGCATGTTTGTTTAGATTCTTCTCTGTGCTCTTGTTTTATCAGGAAGAAGCATGTTTCTTTTCTCTGAGTGTAGGGTAGACACCTCTTATGAGGGTCCTGTGGGGGCAAGGTCAGAGAATTCTTTGTAGATTTTATGACTTGACTCCGAGGAGCAGAGCGGGGGAGGTCAGAGAAGCCATTCCGCTTCTGTGGTTTTCTCAAATCCTTTCCATTTAAAACACTCAGGATGCCGTATATATTGGGTGTTCTGAGCCCTAGCATTGCACATGCAGGTGTGGGTGCTTAATGACAGATATAATCTCCAGGGTAATGTTGGCTATTGGAAATGCACTAAAAATGTTAGCTGAAAATGAGAACCATTTGGAAGACAAGGGAGAAGGAAAGGACAGTTCCCTGGGAGTCTGCCTTGGGGCCCAAGTCCTCCTCTACTATGGACCATACTGTGAATTTCAGCAAGTTGCTCCATCTCTCTGGGGCCTGCTGCTCTGACTTTTATTTCCCCTCCCACCAGCCCTCACATGAAATGGTGTCTGGAAGAACTAGCAGGACTAGTTCTTACCTAAGGCAGCCAAGTTGCCATAGCTGTTTTCAGGCTCTAGCCTGGGCACTATGAAGGACCTTTCCTTTATTTTACAATTTCTTATTTACATTTGTTGTACATCTTTGTGAGGTATTGTACAGTTTTTTCCAAAGCATGCATACAATGCCTGATAATCAAATCAAGGATAATACTGTTGGGTTGTTGGGAAAATCATGACACATTTTTGCATAGAAAAATATGTCCTGACTTTCCCTA